CAGCTTTTTCATGTGTCTTTTTTAATGAAATAGAGCTAAAGGAGAAGCACGAGAGTTTCTTAAGGTCCCATAAACATAAAATGCCGTAACTACCTGCTCTTGAAGCCGAAGATAAATTGGTTATATAGACATGAATCTTTAAGAACCTAGAACAGCATTCTTTCATGTAGCTATTCAAGCACTTGGTCTGATGAGTGGTGCTGTGTCAAAGCAGCACGTGTAATGTCATTTTTTCTGACAGGCCAGAAATTATTTCAGATACTGAAATAGAAACAGGTAGGAACTGGAATATCTTACAAGTGTTTAGAATGGCTAAATATGTTGATTAATCAGAAATAAACTTCAAATCTTTATTCTGCTCTTTACTGAATTATTTTCCCCATTTAAACACTTCCTCATAGAGGTATTACAAGATTTAACTGTTGATACCTAGTAATCCCTTGAGGAATTTATGTGGAACACCAATTAGACCTAATTGCTTCTTTGTTAGAACCTGTTGTGCTTTATCTGATTTGTGTATAAATTATATAAGCAATGCGAAGATACCTGAGATACCATATCAAATCTGGCAGATGAAAATAATGTTGCTTTTTGAAAAATCACACCAAAAACAATGGAATTCTGAGCCTTGCAGTGATTGAGATTAGAGGTACTAAATGAGCTACTGCAGCTGTCACTAGAGGGAGCATCTGTAACAATGGAAAAATATGCTTGTCAATTTTTGCCATGTTTAAATTAATAGGAACCTGCAGGGGCTTTGAAAAAGCACCAGGAAAAAAAAATAAACTACAATATACTGTGGATTTATGAGTGCTTTTTCTTTCCTATTTTCTTATTAGGATCAGAGCATAAGCCATATTAATTGATTAAAGCTGCTTCTTTTCTCTATCCTTGAGGCAAACATGATTTTTAATGTCTGTTCTTAGGATTATATTTATGATTGTGGATGTACACATGTTGGTGATACTTTTAATACATTGACATTTTAGTACATAAAAAAGGAACACATTACTATTCTACATGGGGTGGAATGTTACCAGTCACTGTAAGCTGCTAGATGCCATCACTTTTCAGAACTGATGTGGTCAGAACTACTGATTATTGTTCTTTTTTAGAGCCTAAAATATTTACAGTCTTGACTAAGCTAAACAACTGTGTTCCATTGTTCCTTCAACATAGGTCATGTTTCTAAACCTCCTGTTTTCCTTACTATCCTGTGAATAATCCTCAGTTTGTCTACTACTTTCTTGACAGATAAAGTATTCCAGACTACTCTATTAATGCAAAGAGAAGTGAAATGATTATACTAGATTCCCATTTTTCTGCCATGCAGGGTGTGTCTTATTGCATGTAGCTACCTGTGTTTTTCCCCTTTGAATTTAAATTCTGATCTAGAGTTCACAGACCTCCCTCGCCTGGGGTTATCTGTAGCTTTACAAGCGTACTTCTCATTCCACCATCTGCCTGCCTGTTTATAAAAATGTTGAACAGAAGGACCAGAAGGTGTCTAGGAGAAGCCAGAGTGTGGCACCACGAGGCTAGTGGCTCCCTCAGGGCTAGGTCTCAGTAGCCACGGAGGATCCCCTTGGGGCAGCACGCAGGGCCTGGCAGCCCATTCCATCCCACTGGCCCAGCCAAGAGCCGGGCAGCTGGGGAGCTCCAGGGCAGCCTCAGCCCCTGGCACTGGGCACCTCCCTGGGGATTGGGACTGGCCAAGGCTGGACCAGGATGTCAACCTGGGTGTCAGGCCTGGCTTAGCGGGGGTCATGGCCAGGCAGGGCAGGGCAGGGCTGTGGGGAGCTGCCGACCAGCTCCAGTGTGGCAGGGACTGATGGCCCTGGAGGCTGACATGGGGTCCTGGGCTGTGGGCAGGGTTGGGGGAAGCCTGAGAGGAGGCCAGGCAGGGACAGTCAGGCCCATCAGTGCCCTCAGCCTGGACAGGAGGAACAGCAAGCTGTGAGCCAAGCGTAGCCGCAGCACAGACAGTGACCTTGCAACAGGACACAGTCCTGCAGGATCTCAGCAGAACTGGGTTGGTGATATTGACAGTCCCAGCAAGGCAAGGAATCAAATCAGGTCCAGGGTCCAGACAGGAAGAGCAAGAGACACCTGGAGACAAGACTACAATGTAGGTCTGAGGTCTACCAAGGAGACAGGACTAGAGAAAAGACCAGAGACAATGATACTTTCAACATAGGTCCAGAGTCTACCCAGGAAAACCAGTCACCAAGACAGGGCTGCAGGAATTGGGCTGGGAACAGGTTCAACTTTTAAATAGTTCAAGGACAAATTTGGGTGCCCAGGCCTGAGCTGACTCAGAGCCCTGAACTGTCACAGAGGGTGGGTGGTGCTGGGGTGGGCAGGTGGGCCAGGGCAGAGCTCTGAGAGAGAGAAACGACTAAACTGTGGTTTCAGACTTCTAGCCAGCAAATTCCTTAAACATTCCGTAAACTACAGTGTAAACAACATCATCTTTCTTAGAGCATAACTTTTCAGAGTAAAGCCGGTGCCCATGAAAACACTGTTTCGTTAGCAACAGTCCTTTTTCTCCCCAAACTCCTTCTGTTGATGTACCTGACTCAGAACATGCAAGCCGAGTCTCAAAACCCAGGAGGTAGCACATCCAGACCTGGAGGTCTTCCCAGGTTGAAGTGGCCTGTTCTGTCCTGTTTCCTTCAAGGCTGTCAGGCCGTCAATGAGAGGAATCCCTTGCTTCTTCCATTCAGGGTTCAAGCCCAGAAACCATATTTTAAGCAGTTCTTATTTATTTTGAAATCTGCTCAGAACATCTACAAATTAAGTATCAGCCTTGCCATTTCTTTGGTCTGCAGTCTTTTATAGTTAGGAATAGCTGGGAAGACATTTACTCCTCCCATTAATGCTTTCTGACCACTGCCGACACAGAACTGTTGACATGCCAAAGCATGTCATATCTACATGTATACTCTTTTTCCTACTAAATAACAGCTAATTCAAAATACCTTCAATGAAAGAGCAATGAAACAAATTACCCTCCCCCTAGTTTAAGAGCCTGAAACCCAATTACTATGGAGTAGCTAATGCAGGGTAGCCTATTAGTAAAGGTAAGCAGCATAAGGATACCTTTAGTATGCCAAAGGAATGAGTATGATTTGGTTTATGAAAACTCACTGAAATGACTCGAATCTTAGGACTACTTATTTGCCCACCAATAAAACTATTATTCCTTTCTATAGTCCACATACAGTGATACAGAAAAAATAATGCTGAAGTTGGAATGAAGTGGAGGAGAAGGGGTTGCAAGAGACTACACGCTAGAGGTTGCAACAAATCACTCCAGCAGTGGTGTCATTAAAGAGAGGACACACATCCCTAGTCTCTTCCTGCTAACCAGGCCATGTCACGAAAAGTAAGGACTCCTCTGTTGTGGTCTGAGGCTTACTAGGTCATCAAGATCGGTTGTGAGAAAACAGATTAAGCTGGAAAAGGATTTTAATGCTGCTGCTCAAAGCTGACAAGCTGTCTCTGGACAGTGTCAGGCAATGTTGTTTGCTGAATGAAACAGCTGTGGTTGTACCCACTAACTGAAATCATGTGTGGAATAGACTCGTGACAGCTGAGACTCCACCCGAAAGAAGACAGAGATTCCTTTGGCAGTACGTTTGTTTCACTAGATGGGTCTGTATGTCTCTGTATCATCCTGTGTCAACCAAAATATTTCTTTGTCAAAACCAAAAGGAACTGAGATTTTAATGTCTTATTGCTAATACAGCACAAGCTGGACGCTCTGGCAGTAAGAACAAGAAAACCAGCAGAGAATTTTGACATCCTGGGAAAACCCTGTGGCACCTGTAAAATGAATTTTGTAACACATAGCATATTAGGTGAAGTTCATTAAGTGGCTGATTACTCCCTTTCGGTAGAGGACCCAAGACAAGCCTAACTCCAATAAGCTTTTAGTTTTGTTTTGTTTCTGATATATCTGCATTTCGTTTTCAAAAGTTACAGCCATGTGGCTACAGCAGTATCAATCATGAAAACCACTACAGCATGAGAGGAAATAAGGAGGCAAGTCCTGAAGATCCTGGCAAGTGCCTCCCTGCAGGATGGGTGGGCACTTAGGTCTTGTTTCCAGATCTGAGAACTTTCTTTACTGCCTCATTGAATTGAACAGTACCTTTTCTCTCTCACTACTTTTAAATATTTGGTTTGAGCAAGAGTATCTCTTGTTTATAAAGGAACACAGAATTATATGAGTATTAACCAGACTTTTGGGATGTCTGTCAGACACAGATATGACTGCTTCAGTGTGGGAACCTCTGTGCCACGTTCATTTTAAACCTGTGTCCTTAACAGCGACGAGAATAGGTTGCTACTTCAAGTGACAACAACTCCACCTTATTTCCCTCAAGGTTAGATTTTTTTCTCTGTTTTTTTTTCTTTGGTGAAAGGATTTAATCCTTTCTGATAATGTGGAAAACATTGCTTTCTTCTCTTCATTTTCCTCTCTTTTATAGTGTGATTTTCAAAACCACTCTTTCGAGCTTTCAGGTTTTTTTGTTTGTTTTTGGCGGTTTTTTTTTTTAACTGCTTTACATTTAGTGCATATCTGCTTTGCAATTAGTGATTTTTTTTATTTATTTATTTTTTACTGGGCGTAAAGATGCGGTGTAACCGCACTGCTTTGGCAGGTGAGTTAGTACCGCGCTGACACAGTCAGCCAGCCCCCTCCCTCCCTCCTCCCTCCCTCCTTCCTCCCTCCCGCAAAGATGCTACGAGAAATGTTCGGGGGG